AATAATTATTGTAGGAAATGTAAAAGGCTTCGTGGTTATTTCGTGGTATATAAGTGTAAAAGATTAATAAAGAATAGAGTATAGCAAAATACAAGTGCTTAGCTCTTGTATTCTTTATTTATTGTCTTGTATATCCCATCTGTTTGGGATATACAGCATTTTTAGCACGTGGGATTTATTCCGTAGCACTGATGCTCTATTATTTATTTATAAATATAAAAGTAAATAATAATATGCGATAGTACGTCCTTTACAATACATTAATCATAAAATTCATGTATGTATATACTTATGTATGTACTTATTCATAATCTGTAATAATACGTTCTTTACTTATTTATTAATGAGTAAATGCAAATTACGTTGTCAATTCACGTGTTATTCACTATTATTATTTATAAGATTATTTGTGTATTTTCCGAGTCAATCCTACTCATGAGTAGTCGTATAACCCACCCCTATTTTTATAAAGCAAAAATGCAAGAGTTTATAGAAATTTCTTTTTTAATATAAAAAATAAATAATTTGGATTCCAAATATTTTTTTATAATAGCAAATAGTACAAAGTTTTTACTGGCATAGTTCATTTAATTTAAACTTAATCGGTAATATCTGATTAAGTTTTAAAATTAAGTTTTTAATAGGTGCGGCGTATATACTAGGTTTACCCTAATACTTAGCAAAGAAGTACAATGTGATGTTAGTGATCGATACTATAATTCTAAAAGGTATGTTCTTTTTGTGTATCTTCGGCAGTCCTTTGGTAAGGAACAATCACTATAAGATCTTAATGAGTAATAATTCTGCTTTGTAGTATATCCACAAGTCAACCATTTTTTAAATAAATTATTTAAATCTTTTTCCAGGTTTTTAATCGGATTCTTACTCTGTACTACAGAGTAAGTTGTTGTGTCTCTAATGTCGTGATTTTGTTGGTGTAATCTGATTTATCTAAGGCAACTGTAACGTTATCCTTATCTGTATTCGTAAAGATGATCAGGGTTACTCTTACAAAATTGACGAGTTGATTTACACATGCGACTCAACTGTACCTGTATACTTTATTTATCTGTTCTCTATTATCAGGAAACCGATTTAATTGTGAGATGACTGTACTTCTAACTCTGATTTTATTAGCGGTACTTGAGCGTGAGATGTTACTTTCAAAATCCTTAACAAATTCGAGAATTGCGTCCTTCTTATTCAAACCACTAGGAAGACAAAACCCAGCACCAAGTTATAAGAGATTCGAGACATCAAAAGGAATAGTCTTGACAGAAAGATTTAAAAACTATTTTTTATTTGTTTCGTCAATCGGATTTTTATTCATATTTGTAAATGTCTCCGGTTTAAGCGAGATATCAAAAGTTATCAGAATTATTATTATTATTATTATTATTATTATTATTATTATTATTATTATTATTATTATTAGTGTTTTGTTTGTATCTTACAATTCTTGTGATATTCTCCCTCTCAGTAACAACCTGGTATTGAATCGGTCTCATGTTGGAAATAATTTTACGTTTAATAGTTGATTCTAATAATGACATTTCAATCCTCGCCAACTGATTGACCATTCTGTTGGATTTTTATACATCAGAGTACCAGACAATGAATTTGTGCTGGAACAAGGATTTCAATCTTATTATACTGACAACTGCTCATAAATTTTAATGCATTTTATTGAAATTGACTCTACGAATGTAACGTATTTATTTATATATTATGATCTTATATTTTAATTGTAATTCGTTGAGGTGGCTGAAGAAGACCAATCTAAGTCGAAACATGTATCACGTATAACGTCTAAGTATAGCGATAATCATTTCATGCGTACCTAATGCTTGTAGTTATTAAAAATAATTTTGTTATAATAAAAAACGCTGCCATTCTCGTTTAAATAAGCTCGTTAATTTGGCCTACTCATAATTTGTTTGTTATTAGCAAGTACGAGCTAGTCTTTATTGTTTGTTTAAAATTATAATATTTCTACAATATTCTTTTAATATTTGTAACATGTCGTGTTATTGAAATATTTCCGCTATCTTTTAGCAATATATTATGTAGAAATCTCTTCTATTTTTATGATATTCATCGCAGTTATAAGATATAGACGAAACACAGAAGTATCGGAAGAGAGGTAGTTATGGCTTAGTGTTAGAGTAACTGCTTAAAAGAAAAGAAAAAGCCTAATTGTAAGTTTTAATTTTGGCAATGCCTAGACACTTTGATATTTTTCTCGTATTGTCGCTTATAGTTTCCAAAAGGTATTGTATGAATTAATAATACTTACTGTCTGTGCAATGAACGTCTACGCTTTCCTGTTCTAGAATTAATTTTAGACATTCCAGTCGATCAGATATATTATTTTTTCGTCTTTCTGGTATTCCTAACTGCTGACAGGCGCTCAGTATTAAGTCGTTGGCAACTTTGGGCTCTACATATAACAATTCCCGAAGGATAGCGCTATGGCTTAGCCGAACAGCTGCTTCTGCGGCTTTCCTTACGTTGAAACATTGACTCATGAATTTTTGTATGATTGCAATAACAGCTTTATAAAAATTGTGCTGCACAGCCATCTCCAACAACTCTTCGGCTACATCGTGAGAAATCTTTGTCTTGACAAACTTCATACTTTTTAGGAAGTTTGTCTCATCATCGGCAATCAGATAATACTTAAGATCGTGTACATTTACATCACGATATTCATGTTTAAATGGTAACGATACACCCGGCAGCTTTTGCTGAATCACTTCTCGCGTCGTTTGGTCATTGTAATCTTTGTAAGTGTCAACGTCTGGACACTGTTGGCTTTTCTTCAGTATCAATTTCACCATATCCCGCTGACCTTTCACCGCCGCCAAGTGAAGAGCCGTCAAACCCTTGCTATTTGGAATACTGGCGCTGGCACCGTTCTCCAGCAACAGACCGGCACATGTCAGGTCGTTTCTTCTCACCGCGATGTGCAGAGCGGTTTGATGTCCTGCTTCAAAATCCGGATTTGTTGTCGACTCCTTTAACAAGGCTTCCAGTGTACTCACGTGTCCGCCTTCTGTAGCGAAGTGAATAGGAGCACGATTGTACACTTTGTTTATTCTGTTGGGCTTTGCTCTTTTGTGCAATAAAAGTTGCACAAATTCTGTCAGACCATTTCTACTGGCGATGTCAAGGCATGTTTCTTCTGTGTTAGGATAGACATAGTTGACATTTAAATCAGTTGGCTGTTTTCTGTTGTGTATAATATTTTTGAAAGAATGGAAATCCTTGGCTTTTAAAGTGTCTAGCAATAGTTTATAAAAGATATCCGTGTTACTCGGGGATAGATCATAAACGTCCAACAAACAATCCTGCATTAAGTTCTCTTCAAAATCCATTTTAGTATCTGGAAGCAGAATATTAAATATATAATATTGGCATCGGTTATTTTGAGAAAAAATATTAATACTAGAATATATTAATATAGAATATTCAATATCTCAGATAGATAAATTAAATGTCAGTATGTTGTTTGCTAGTAAAATAAAAACTAGCGAAATAATTACAGGATCCCGCCCTAATTATATAGAAAATTGAGTCCTAGCGAAATGAATTTCACATATGATGTAACTTGTAATATGAGGTTTCTCATATTAAAACAGTTTTCTTTTAAATTAATTGAAAAATTATGGGATTGTATAAGACATATTTGAAAGGATTTCTAGAATATTAAAACTTTGCTAGTTTTACAGAGCTGAGAGCACAAATTTATCATTAAATTACATTTTATTATTAAATTTAAATTACATTCAAATAGAAATTTTAAATAATTCAATATTTTTTTATAAACCATTGCTTAAAAACTATCCATTAATTGAGCCTTGTGTCAATGACAGGGTTGGAAACGTCACCTTAAAAAAATAATACGTTACCGTTACTGTTACTTGAAAAATAACGATTCCTTATTTTTTTGTTATTTCTTTGTAATACTGAAATAAATACTGAAATAAATTTCATTAGATTTTAAATTTGTATTATTTGATAATCATTATTAAATGTAATAATAAATATTAAAATTAGAATCTCAACAAAATTAAAGCATCACTTACTCTACCCTCTAAAAATAGGTAAAATTCAAGAGTATTACTTCATCAAAAATGATCGAGATGTTCAAAAAAGTATTTTACAGCTTGAAATCTCTACTTTCCAAATTGAAGCAAAAAGGACCATTTTTGCTTTAATGTTGAATAACTCGGTGAAAAAAAATACGTACAACGCTCAACAAAAAAGCAAATTAAAGGTAAAGATTCACGCTTTCGAAAGCTGTAAACTGCATTTGCATGCGATTTTTAATTCGCGCCATGGAACTTGTCAAAGTTCATAAAAAATTTTGAGATTCGTCGGGTCTTCTTTTCTATCCGTGTAATTCCATGAAAAATCAGTAGGATCGTTTTCTAAAGTATCGATTTGAAAAGTAGAGATTTCAAACTGTAAAATGCTTTTTTGAACATCTCGATATGATCATTTTTGACGAAGTTACACTCTCTTGAATTTTGCCTATTTTTGGAGGGTAGAGAAAGTAATGCTTTAATTTTGTTGAGAAGGTATATGTATATGTTTTATTGGATAGTATATTAAAGAACTTCAATAATTTTTCACCTAATTATTTCAGTTACTACAATACTCACTCAGTCAGTAAATATATTTTATCAATTTACACACACACGCACACGCGCACGCACACACACACACGCGCGCGCACGCCCGCACGCACGCACGAAGGCACACACACACACACATTTACCTTAAAATAAATTTATATCATATAATCAATTATTTTTCTTACGTTAAATCATTCATCATCTATGTAATGAAATTCAATAATAATTATGTTGTTAATTAAAAGTTATGTTTCAACAATTCGATTCGGGTAAAATATTATCGACTCGATTCAACTTGGATTCGAAAAAAGAAATGCGATTCAATTTGGCGTCAAAAAACTTAGATTCGCGTATCTCTAACAGAAAGAACAAAACCATTAACTGTTACCTAACATTATCTCTTGAAAGCGAGACTCCGGGTCGTCCAAGTGAATAATCATCGTCGTGTACAGAGCATCGACGTGACACCTGCTGACGACAGTGTCGTAATCTTCAGATGCGACGCTCCACACGTCCACAAGCGCTTCCACCGCGGCATAGCGAACATCGTCGCAACCATCGTCGAGTCTCTTCAGTATCACCGGATATGTGCGATGAATATACTCGTCATCTAAGCAGGACAGCCTCTGTCCGATTGTTACTAACATGCAAATGGCGCGCATGGAGTACAATCGAGTCTTCTTCGCTTTATCATCCACCAGACTGACAAGAACGGGCACGATCTTGTCAAAGATGGATGGAAACTGCTCCGCTGTGATAGACATTTTAGATTCCTTCTTTTCCTCATTCGCAGGCGACCCCGCTTCGTTATAAATCTCATCTTTGTCGCCGGGATTAATTATCTTGTTCTGTAGAATGGCACAGAGGCAGCAAACGGCGGCCGTGCGAATAGCTTCGGCTGCTCTACCAGCGGCCCAAATAAGTCCAGGCACGATCAGCTCTTCGACGATCGTGCTCACAAATTTACGCGGATTCTCGATGTAATGATGTAAATTCTGATTGTTCAAGAAGTACTCCGAAAGTAGAATAAAGTGCCGCAACTTCAGCTCGGAGTCGGCGTCCTTGCTCATAGTTTTCTTAAAGATGGGTAACACAAGGTCTACATTATGCGACATGGCGACACTGGCACGGCTCAAACAAGCGCAGAAAATTTGCGATTCCGCGTTGTAAACCGTCCATGAGACGCAATCATCGTGAATTGACATTATCAGCGGTCTTGTGTGATTGCAAAACAATTCTTCGACGTCTTTTAGCGAATTTATGTTGACAAGTATCTCTAAGAGTCTGTCAGCTTCTTCGCGAACGTAAGGCTTCACGCTCATCGCGTATATGGTGAATATTACAATGAATAAAGCTTGCGTTACCGCCATGCAATCCTGCATTACAACACACTGTTAGATATATCTAACAAGGGGAAGAGACCAGGTCAGTGTATCACGGATCCTGATCCCAATTTTTTTGGTGAAACTAGAGGCAAATTAAAGATATAGTGTCCGAGCGTTGGATTAAATAGGCCTTAGTTTTCGAGTAAGAATTTTCGAAAAATAAATTTTTAAATAAAAATATTCAATATTTAATAATAAAAAGCGATATATTTCTTTCATTCAACATCAGTTATAATAATGCTTGGAAAAAAATACAAATTTTTATGTAAAAAAAGTCGTACATTACAATATCAGTAATAAAAAATGAAAAAAAAATAAAAAACATGCATTAAAAAAAATTGCAGCATCCAGGGATTGAACATTGGACTACCAGATTGGAAAACAACCCAGACAGCACAGATCTCCTGAGTACGTCCATAGGACATTCCAAGGATGTACAAATGTCCTATGGACGTTCTACGAATATCGTGTGCTGTCAGGGAAGCCCTTTACTCACCGGGCTATACCGATGTTGAATGAAAGAAGTATATCGCTTTTTATTATTAAATATTGAATTTATTTTTCGAAAATTCTTACTCGAAAATTAAGGCCCATTCAATCAAACGCTTGGACACTATATCTTTATTTTGCTTCTAGTTTCACCAAAAAAAATGGGATCAGGATCCGTGATGCACTAACCTGACCTTCCTCTTATAAGAATCAAGCAAGAATGAAATTTTCTTTTCTTAAGTAAACGAATGTATGTAAATAGACGTGTGTATAACGAAAAAAGAATTGTATACGAACCTCTTTACAAACTACGAGAAGAGAATTACAGCACAACAGTATTTGACGTTGATAGTTGCTTTTTTTACTCTGACAGATATTCGGCTGCTGCAAGAAATTCGCGATCTTGTCCAGTTGTTGCGACAGAGCCCTCCGTTCGCTACCGCTAATGATCGCCGCGAAGACACGCAAGTGTCCGGTGGTCGGAGATTCGTTTAGAGTGGGAAGCACCAAGTGACAGTAAATTTTGGGTTGTACGAAGTAGCCTAAATATCGTGCCGCAGTTTCCATGCAACTAACGACTCTCTTATCCTCGTCATTACAAGCGCTGTAATAAAAAGCCGTAATTAGATTTCTTCATAAGCGATCATCTTTTGCAGAGTTGGATAGTAACTATTTAAAAGTTAAGTAATAAAATTAAAAAATTAATAACTTGTAGCTTAAATTATTGTCAATTTGGGTTGAACAAAAAGTTCATTCCGTTTTTTTAAAAGACGATATTTTTTTATTTAGATGTAACTTTATTCATTCAGGTATTCACCTTTTTTTTCAATAATTTTTTTACCTTCTTTTAGGTAACTTCATGATTCCATTCGTATAAAACTTTCAATTTTTTAATTAAAAAACTGATTTAAGTGATTTTTGCAGTCTTCCAGGGAACTAAAGTTCGATAGTCATTAAGGATCAAGTTTTGCAGGGGAAATGGAAATCGAAGGATGCAAGATCCGATGAATATGGTGAGTGAGGTAGAATATCCAGTTAAACTGTACTAATTTCTACCGAGTGGTTAAAGAGACGTGCGATCTTGCGTTATTATGATAAAAGACACTCTTACGATTAGCTAATTCTAGACATCACTTCTTGTCAATTGCTGTTTTCAATCCAATCCAGTTGCAAGCAATATACATTCGAATTAATCATTTGATTTCTTAATGCTCGTAATACAAGATTTCCTTCTAATCCTAATCCTAGATGCAAAGTATTATCTTCTTCACATGAAGTTCTGTTTTCAGAATTGATAATGGCCGTTCATCTTGTCTGCTTTACGATCTCTCGCACCATATTATAAACAATCCATTTTTCATCCCCAGTATAACAATTCGCTTTAAAAATGAATCATTTCCATTTCGTTTGTACAGTAAATTGCATACAAAAATTCGTTCCATCACACTTTTTTCCCGACAAATTATGCGGTATCCGAGCTTATTTACGTATTTAAGTGTTTGTAAACCGTTCGACAACGGCTGATTGCAATATTTTGAATTATGAGAATCTCTGCAATTACTCAAATCGAATAACGCGAGTTATTTTTAATTAATATCTGGATTTTATCGTCATCAATCTTGACTGATCCTGAGGGTGTATCGTCGAAATCAAAATTTCTGGCATGGAACTTGACAAATTATAATACTTTCGGCACGTTCATTCATTTACAATACTTTCTCTATTATACAAATCTTTCTTTAAGTTTCGATTACATTGTTGCTTGTTTTAATTAAAAAAGCATAATATGCCGAAAATACACCTTATCATTGACCATCTTTCAATATTGATACTAAACTCAAAACACAACTAATCTTCAAATATTTTTTTTTAATGCGTATTAAAATGTTAGCTGTCAAAAAATATTAAATTAATAGCGAATTTAATTGAACGCACTCAGTGCACATTGTACACTGCTCTAATTTCAATATAAAAGTGATACGTGATCTCGAATAATAAAATGCTCAATACATATTTCACCAAATAATACAATAATATTATTAAGAACTTCGCAATTTAATTGTTTCTATATTTATAGTTATATTATTTCTATATTTAAACGTATATCTTTACATTGATATGTATACAACAATTTTAATATGCACTAAGCGCGCGCTAATGCGTCCAACCGAATTCAGTATAAAGCAATTGAAATGGAGTTAGTTTTACATATATTTATACCAATGTTATCTCTTTTAATAAAAACGGAACGAACTTTCCGTTCAATCCAATATTTTCATGAGTTAATTTAAAATTTTAAATAATATTAACTTTTTTCTAAGTTAAAAATTTTTTGTCTCTCTAAAACTCTATTTTTCTAAGTTAAAAATTTTTTGTCTCTCTAAACTCTATTATTTTCTAATAAAATAAAATTTTGAACATTAAATATCTTAATTTCATATCTGTCACGAATGTTCATATCACGAATGTTATTACAGACAATGTAACTTTGTTACTTTAAATAGAAAAAAATAAGATTATTTTTTAGTCATTGTAATGATTTAAAAAAAGATTTAAGCGACAAAAATTTTGAAAAATTGCACTTCTAATAAAATTCAATAATTAATTGTAACATATTCTATAACTACAATTATTTTTAATTTTATTAGTTCAAAAAAATTGTAAAAATTATTTCAATTTAATTAAGTTTTTTAAAATTAACTTTTGATTTAATTTAATTTTAACTTAATTTTTAACAATAAGTTTAATTTTCAACGTAATTAAGTTAATTTTAGGTCATTAACTTTAACATAACTAAGTTAAGAAAAAAAATAACTTACCAAACCCAGAATTTAAAACGAAAATCTTGATAAAAATTAAACAATTTTTATAAGAAATAATTTGCCTCTGAATTTTATCTAATTTCCAGTAGTGGAAGAGTAATGGAAAGTAAGTCCTACCGATACATAGGCGGCAAGAGCTTTTCAATATGTTGTGTAACGTCTTCTTCAACATTTAGTATCAGTACACAAAGTAATTGAGCGGAACGCACACGTATGTCTGGCAACCAATCTCCAAGTTCGACGCTGATACCATTAATAAGCTTGCATAAATTCTGTTGCGCGATCACACGACATCCTAAGTTCGGTCTGGAAACTAGAAACACCGATCTTGTATAACTTAATATTCTCGATATGTGTGATACGCTAGTCTGTAGCATTTTTAAAATAACTTACCTTCCGGAGGATAGTGCTCCGGATCTTCCGTAAGAAAGTCCATCTTATCTTTCAATTTCTTATCATTTTCGTTTTCCTCCATATATAATTTTCCTGCAGCGTCCCACATATCGGCCGCTTTTACACGAATCTCCGCAAGCTCATCGTGCAACCCTGTCATGATCAGGGGAAGAAGTTTGTACCACCAGCCATATCTGTCAGGAAGCTCTATCAACCAGCGGCCAGAGACTTCAATTACAGCTTTAAAGATTCAATGCAATTACAATTTTTTAGTTTTAATATAATTATACAAAATTACGTAAAAGAATTAACTTTAATCGATATTCCCGAGTCCAATAAACCTGAATATTTTTTCAATTACGCGCAAATCTCTAGATAGCATTGCGAAAAATTATAACATTTTATACAATTTTTCATAATTTTAAGTTACATAATCTTATTTCTCGAATTTTTACCTACAAAATAAAAAAAATTGTTCAATTACGTTAATTTTAAGCAAAGATATATTAATTTAAAATTTTGTCGGGTACGTTGGACCCGACAAAATGAGTTAAGAAAATTTTCGAGTGAATACCGATTAGGATTAAATAAAAAAAAACTGAAAATTATTACGCAAAAATTATTATACAAAATATACCTTCCCTGACAATCCCACTTTGATCGAAGAGCCTCTGTGCCAAAGGCGTTGCCACCTCTTCCATCGACTTGCTATTTCCATACCGAATCACATCGCCTATCGCTTCAACAGCGGCGAGTCGAACTCTATAGTGCTGGTGCGTAAAATTGCTCAGGATAGGTTTAATTAAATACTCCGACTGCGAGTAGAAATGCCTCGATAGAGTCTTTGCATAGTCCGATATGCACCGGCAACTCTCCTTCTTCACATTCGGATAATTATCCGTAACGGTGCGCGCCAATATTCCCGTCACGTCCTGAATATACGGTGCCAACAAATCTTTATACTTCCAAATAATCGTTCGTAAAAGAGAGACGCATTTCAGGCGCACTTCCTCCGACGGCTCGATCAATTCCTGCATGCCCAATCGTCTGGACATTATCGGTATAATGTAGATTATGTATTTGTCGTCGGGTGGCAAGGCTTCGAGAAATATTTTCAGTATCCCTACGGTCAGATCTCGGCACATCTCCATATTATCGTTCATAATTCTAATTAGAGATCTGTGAACGCTCTCCCATATTTTAATCAGATCATCCGATCTGCCCGATATTATTTCCTCTTGAGATATATTTTTCCATATTTCCTCCAGCGCTTGTCTGCGACGATTCTTCTCGTCCGCTTGCAACGAAATAGTTATCTTACTTAATTCAAGATCCAACGCCATTATCTGAAATGGATTTCCCTCTTAGAATGAAGATAATGTAAAAGTACAAATCCTTTTTATGTACATACAACATTGCGGAATACATATCATTATCATACAAAGGAACCATATCGATTTAAACACTGTTTGTGTCTCCATGACAACACACTCATTCAGATTGATATACGAAATTTCCTTTCTTACATAATCTATGGTCTCTTTTAACGCAACTATCACCACTATTAAATTATTTACGTATTCTATAAATGCTTGTTGTAGCATTTTTTTAACACACTAAAATATTAGCAGAAAAATGCTTATATCTTGAAATATATTTATTATGTCTTGATCTAAAATACATTTTTAATCATACAGTAAAAGTAGCACTAGATCACTGGTAAGCACAGAATATACGTCTATAATGAATTTACAGAGTTCTAAAATTGTACAGTATCTATTATATGCAATGACTATACTTTGTATTCGAATACGGCTCATATTGGCTGTTTTACATTATAATCTAATATGTATATACTCTAATATGTACTATAGACAAAAGATAGCTACAAAGAAGAAATGTGTACATACAAGACCAATTTCGGTCGATTATCTTCTTTCTGACGAACGCGAGGGACTAATTACGCTCACTGTTATTTCACAAATTGAGGAAATATAAAAATAGTGTAGAAAATTAAGAGACGGATATGTATTCTGGACATGGTCCCCGGCATTTAAATCTTGTGTGACTTTCAATCGTCATTTTATTCATGATCAAAATGTGATTTGTTTTATATGCAACTGTCTAGTTCCTAATCTTCCAAAGTTACATTCTTAAACAAATACGACATCGATTCTTTATTGTGTATACGTCGAATTGCCTCTGCTAAAAGAATACTGATGTCGACAGTCTTGATTTTCGGGCACTGCATCTTCTGCACGTCGTGCGGAACTGTATTAGTTACAACGACCTGGAAAAATTTTTAACGGTTTTTTTTTATATCAGTCTTAAGACTAAGGTCTTGTATCGACATACTAGAAATCGATCTCAGATCTCGAACAGAGAATTGACCGATAGCATTTGAATAATTCTGCAGTCAATTGATTAATGTGATTGATCAATTTTCTCTTCGTTCAAGATCTCGGACCAATTTCTAACATCGTAGATACTTGTAAGTTTTTTATATTATTTTAGTGTTATTACCTCATCAATCGGAGACTCCTCGATGAGTCTAGGCGCGTCCGAGCTGAGCAAACCGTGTGTAGCTAAAACGTATATCTTGTAAGCTCCTCTCTCTTTAAGTACCTCGGCAGCGGCTACGTACGACTGTACATCATCTATCATGTCATCCTGCAAATACATTTCCCTCGTCAAATTGTAGCTCACGATCATATACGGCGTATATGAACGCAATACATTTTACCCACCACCATAATAGCGATACGTCCGCCGACATCTCCAACAACGCTTATAGGTGGCTTCTCCTTCGCCGGATGCAAAGGCATACCCACGCCAACCTCCATCGTACGTGCGGCCATTGCTAACGCAGGTGGCGAGTAGCGACCGTCATTCATATCAGATTCAGCTTCTCTCTGTTCTCCGTGAATCACCGCAATTCCCAGGCGCAGCCTTTCAGCATAGCTAGTCGCTTTCTTTGCGCTACCTGGATTTCTTGCAACGATCACAGAATTATGATAGTCAGGAATCTGACAAAGAGAAGATACAATTATATAAAAGGAGCACAATGTAAAACAAAACACACGTGGAGTAACATTTTGAATATCTTAAAATAAAAATATAATAATTCTGTGACATTATCAAAAGAGAAAAATATCATATTACTATTTTCAATTCAAGATATTGATATAACTTAAAATAAATCGTTATTACAATTCAAGATGCTTTAGAACCGCAACTATTGTTAATAATTTATTATAACAGTTGTGTGAAAAATTTTGTTACATACGGATTCTTGAATGTACTGCAAAAGGAATGGACTAGCTCTCAAATTATCCACGGGAACATCAAAGAATCCTTGGATTTCTTTCTGATGAAGATCCATGGTGATAATATGAGTTAAGCCGCTCGTGCACAACATCTTTGCCAAGAGTTTGGACACTATGCAGCCACGTTTGCGCATTTTGCACTGCTTGGAATAAGGTAGATACGGAATCACTCCAACAATGTTTTTGGCTGATGACGTTTTACATGCATAGGCCATAATAAGTAGCTCCATTATGTTATTGTTCACATCCTTTGTACCGGTTTGGATTAAATACAGGTCTTTGCCGCGTACAGAATCCCCTATCTCCACCATTGTCTCGCGATTTGACTTGTGATATACAGCGCAACCACCAGGTTTTACACCCAAGCGACTTTAAACATAAAAAAAATATTATTTAACAAATATCTTTTGCATTTCCCTTCTTTCAAATTGATTTATATGTATTACTTTTATGTGACAATTTTATCTATTATTAATGATAAACAGTAAGCTACATATTAAAATCCATATTCTTATTTAGAATTTTGTGTGTGTGTAATAGAATGATACAGCATTTTTTATTTAAATATAATCAAATAAATAATTTTAAAATATATTATTATATATCAATTTTAATATACAAAAATACATATATATAAATATATATATATATATATGTACATAAAATAATTATTATAATATAAATTTGCATTTGTTTTAAATTGATTTTCTAAATTATTAGATTCTGCTCTTTTCAGTTGTATTGTTTAAAAACATTTTCTTTTCTTTCTTTCTTTATATTTTAAATGTAAAAAACATTTCCAACTTGAAAATTCAAAAATTACAGAACTATGAAAATGCATAAAGAATGTTTTGATATGTATAATAAGCTTATACCTTTTTGCTATCCAAATTCATCCTAAAGGAATAAAATCGGCTTCTAAAAGTTGATCTTGTTTTTGTTTATAATTTTTTAATTCTTTAAACAATTAATAAGTTTTCTAATCGATAAATATATTAAAAGAAATTTTTTTTGTTACAAAATTTTGTTCCATTTTATTTTTTTTTTGGTAAATAATAAAAGAAAAATTTTTTAAATATCTTTGCAGCTTCAATTCATCCTAAAAAAATAAAATTAATAAGGGTTATAAAATAAAAAATAAATCAACTTCCAAAAGCAATCCATTTTCTATTTTAAATTGATTTTCAGGGCGAATTTGAGCAGTAAAAAAATAATTTATTACGTATCAGAATATTTTCTTTATACTGTTAAAGATTCATAATTGTTTGAATTAAAGAGTTGGG